TTTTACCAAATTATACATTCATTCACTTCTTAATGCTTCTACCGACAGCTAATGTACTGTGATCTATTCTAATTACTACCTGAACAAAGACGTCGATGGAGTTGTATAACGCAGGAAATTTCTGTACGCAAATTTTTCGGTTATGTAATTAAGTTCATCATTAGATCATGCACAAGAGTTATGTAAAATCGATGCCTTTACAAACAATCTATGCAGTGTTCTAATTATAGGCACAGAGTAATAACAGAGGTTCTTTAACTGAATTTATATCATGCAGTACATCTCACAATTTAATTCTGCAGAACGGTGCACCTATTTCCTCATTCGCACTTAATTGTTCTCAAAGAATAGATACAGAATTAATTTCAGGAATTAAATATATCTGGATTAAATATATATGACCCAAAATGAAGACTATATTTCAATAGGCATTGCGTTTTTAAATACTTGTTTTTAGTATCCTATGTACTTAAATTGTACGTCTACTTTTTGCGTATTTGCCGTTTCTTAAAAACAAATCATATCAAAGCTGGAAATAATTGTATTCAAAGGGATGCAAACGTGAAGAATAAGTTAGAGGAGACCAAATCAAAGGTGCAAAAACCTTGTAATCTTGTAACCGTTCTATAAGAATTCAAAAAGAAACAAGTACAAGTGGTGAATACAATGGATTTACATTTGTTTGAGTCGGAACAAGATATAGACTTATCATTTTTACACTATTATATTAAAAACTAAACGACATGGAACGAAATAATTTCTACCATCGAAAGGAGTCAAAAAATTTGATATAAGAAACCTGTAAAATATAATTTTCTTTAAAAAGAGGAGTTAACACACTCTGGTTTAGAGCACTCCAGACATAGAGTATCGACCCTATACATACAAAACCTTCACGATCTATAGTTCCTAGATACCCATCATCATTATTACAGATACTACCAATTATATCAGTGTTTATATAACATCGAACGCCGTAAACGTTTCCTTGCTTCGCATGCAAAACGAAAAACGAAATTTCCCCACACCGCTTCCCGATGTTATCGCAGTCTCAGGTCGCAGTTAACCGGGAAACGATCGACTTGCCGTTGTCGGATGCGGTTTTCCATCGCGACGATTTACGCGCGTCGTCACTGATGTCGTCGAGGGACAGGGTCGTCAACTCTTGTGCTTTACGACCGATAAAATTTCATTTCCTATTAATCCGAGTCGCAGTGTCCTTGATGACGCCGCTGGCGCTGGGATCTTCCCTCCTCGCCCTGCTTCGTTTTACAAGTGCCGCGTGAAAATCCGTTTTTTTAGACAGTCACTCTGCCATCGGAATCCCTGCCCCTCTCTTCAGCAGCCGATTCTCAAAGACGTGAAATCGTCGGAGTGAAAAACACTGTTTACCGTTATCCGGACGATACGAAGCATCGAAATGGAATGCAGAGGTTGCCCCGAAGCATCTCGCATAATCAGCCCTGTTTACGTCTCCACTGTCCAGGCGGGAGGGGGATATATTAGTAAAGCGATCGCCGGTGTAAAGGTACCGTAATTGAAGGCTACGCCGTGTGTAACGAGCGGAACCATTAAAAGTTTAAAGAGAATTAATGGTGCCATCTTAGAAGGCGTTCCTCGTCGGGCAATTAAGGTTAACGAACAATGAATTACGGCTTTATGACGGCTGAAATAGTGCATCCTTACCGTGACAGCCGTTGACGGTCCTTGGGCGTCTTCATTTTCTTTGGTATTTAGTATGGGTAAATAAGTAAATTATTGTTGATCGATTTCGTTGACGAGTTTATTTAGCTGATCTTTTCTAAATGAGAGTGATATAAGTTCTAATTGTCGTTAAAAATAGACGGTAAAGGTGGTAGAAATATTGAACTGGTCATTGGTTTATGTAGCTTTAACAATCGCATGGTGGTGCCTGGATCCATATAGACCCGAGTATTTAAAGACTTCATCTTAACTCATCAACTTATGAATCGTATTTAAGCTAAGAGTTGCTGATATTAAGTCACATAAAAATGGAGATCGTCTTTTCACGAGTAATAGAGAATTAGAGTAATAGAGATTTCAGGAGTAATAGAGAACCGCTGATGTACGAACATTAAACAAGTCCGCCTTCCGAGGATTATTAGTGTTTCGTTTAATTATATCTTGTTTGAGAATAGGAAAGATTCCCTAGAAAATACATGTATTAAAACGGTTGAAGTGGTCTTTAAAAAGTGAGTAAAAATAGTGTAGAATTTTTATAATATTTATTTCGAATATTGCAGTGCTTAACGGTTTGAATCTAAATATGTAGTGGTAGCGCTCTCTTACCATGCATTGAAATCTCCTGAACTGCATTTACAATACCATCTTACATGACTCACACTAGCCATATTTATTCCAATTTCATGCCTTCGAAATGCTTCAATTTCTTACTCTCTCATAAATACTGACATTTAGAGTTCTAAAAGTTGATATTTTAAAATTATTTATTACAAGAATAACACATGCTGTTAAGGTTAGAAAACTGTGACAACACTTCCTCGCGACACACTTTACGTTTAATAGACTGTACCTGATATGCGTAAATCTGCAAAACTGTTTCTCGATATGTAGGAAGTGAAATAGTTAATAATTTGTTATTCATACAACCTGTCACATTGGTATTAAAATTGATTTTATAAACAGGCCGGAGAAAATCAAGTGGATTGATGTGCTTATTAGTACTACACCGTAGCTATGTGTGTGCATGTCTTCCGCCATATCTCGATGCATTGACGATTATGTGGGTCAGGGTCATCATCTGCTTATCCCGCTTCCTCAGGTACATTCAGGTTTTGTCAGCGGAATCTTAGGTATTGATATACCGGGTGCTACTCAGTGACATCTTTGGAGAAATTGCTTGTTCGAAAAATTTCCACGGCAACGTTTCGTTTACAGTCGTTTACTTCTAAATGAAACTATACTTCTAATAAAAATAGACTAAACGAAACCTGGTTGTCATTGCTATAATAACTATTCTCGCGTTATAATCACATATAATTTAGGTGTCTCTGAAACTGACATGGTCTTTAACAGCAATTATTATGTGAATGTACAGTGTGGAAAAACACGCAAAACGTCCTCGTTAAAAAAAGATTTCATTTCATTGATTAAAATAGGCAAAGCTTTCGAGACCACACGTCTAATGACTATTAGTATTTTCATAATTACTAACTAAATTGTTTTAAGCAGTCAAATATTATCTTCAAGATTTAAATTATTTATAATTGTATTTTTCTTATTCGTAATAGTTTAAAACAAAATGCCTTGATTTCTAGTCCGTAATGCCCTAAATAGTTTTTTCCTTTCGAATAATAGCTGCTCATTACTCTCAAAATTACAGTAGATTGAGGATGATATTATTGCATTATCATTCCCTCAATAACGCCGGACTGTAGTCATATTCAAGAGAAAGACATCACAATTTACTAAATATATGTCAGCCGAAGCAAATAATAATAGCAATCAGTCGGCCCCATAAACTTTCACAACACTATGAACGTTCTCAAACTGCATGTGTAACGCGGACAAAACCAAATCTGTACCATTACAGATAAAAACACAACAGATTATTGAATCTATTGTCCATGAATTCTGTAATACTATTTAAGATTAAATATTCTTAACATGCAATTGCAATATTTACCATTAGATGAAGGGAATACTTATTTTAAAAACTATCTTACAATAAATGTGGATTTATGTAATTTTAATCGGAAGATCCGAATACTACTCTCGGTCGTATTATTAATTCAGTAATTAACCTTGCTATTCTCTTCGGGTCTATACATATAACCCACAATGAAGATTATATTGCAATAAGTACATTGTTTTTAAATATTTGTTTTTTGTATCCAACGTACTTACATTCTACGCCCATTTTCTGTGTATTTCCCATTTCTTTAGATGGGGATATTTCCCATTCATTCCCAAGTTTGAACTAGTTTTATTCGAAGGGATACAAACGTGAATAATATAGGAGACGTCGTGTCATATTTTTAATCACCAATAAACAAAGTTCCGCGATGAAAGCATCGATAAGTCTGTGTATTTAGTAAATAACTGATATTTATTGACGGTTCATAAGTTAAGAAATTTACAATTCCATGGTGGAAACGAGGAAAATGATATTTGTACCTCGGTAATCATGTTGTTCTTGGCATTCCTTCTCTGGATCTCGATCGCGTGCAAGGAAACCCGTTTTCTCGTACGCGAGATCGATCGATGGATCCAAGATATCCGTGACGGCGGCCGGTGAAAAGCAGGAAATGGAAGTCGAAAGAGAAAATGAATAATAGGAAAGGTCGAGAAACCTTCGTGTAAATCACTCGCGAAACCAGGGCGACGCTATCGCCTACATGCGAAGGATTTTACACTTGTAATTTACGCGGGCGAATGTAATTTCGATCGAGATTAAAACGAACGGAAAAACCGTGTCAACGAAACATGAAATCTCGACTTGTGATGTCGATCGGAACGATATTTCGTGTGTCTTTCCGTCAGTTTCATTACAGGAAGCGAATAATTATTCGCTAATTACTAATGTGTAATTGTCAAAATGTCACTAGCGATGTGGTTACGTGTTTTAATTTATATCGCGTAGTACAATTAAACGTCGTATAATTGTCACTTTCTTGGGAAAAAGGGAAACGATTTCCTTTGCCCTAGTTCTAGTTTTTCTTCTGTGAACGGTGTGAAAATTTCAATTTGTGGTCTTTTAGTCTACAAGTAGAGTCTGTTTAACAACTTCTATTGAAATTCTATCGCCAGAATTATAGAACTGTCAAGTTGAGAGAGAGTTCTCCATCAATTTCATAAACGTATTAAAATTCAACCACAGAAAGGGTCGATGAGATTGCAATCTTGTTAAAAATTTCATGAAACATTTGACTTCCAGGGATCAATATAATAATTACAAAAAATTACATAATATTACGACATAAAGGATACAATAAAGTTAATTTGTGATTTAATTGCAGGTCGATCAGAAGCCTCTGCACAAACCGAACCATCACGAGAACCACGTGTCCCAGATCACAAAATCGATCCAATCGCAGACGAATCACGGTTCTCTGAATCACGTCCAGTCCCACGGTCAATCTAATCACGTTATCTCGAATCACGAGAACCACGTGCCCGCGAGTCGTGTGCCGAACCACGTGTCGGCGGCGAACCAGACGAACCATCAGAAAAACCAGCAGAACCACCGGCTCAGCCCGAATCAGGAATGGCGGCAACCGGAAGACAACGGCCGGTTGCAAGAAGACGGTATCTACGAGAGCGGTCCAGTGGTCAACGACGGAAAACACTCACTTTTGCAGTACGCCATGTTGAACTTCAGGCAGAGCACGGAAAAGTTAGTACAACTCCTTCCTATAGAACGTCAAAATAACATTCACGAGCTTCGTTAGTTTACTATTCATCCGCTCAGATCATTTTTAACCCCTCATCCATTCCTCATTTTCCCAACTTAATTTATTGTCCGGTGTCAAATTGACAACAGTAGTAAAAAATTAATATTGTAAAGGGATAAATAGTTAAATTTGCAAATTTTTTAAAATAAAACGGAGTCTCAGCTATATTTACCTACACATGACAGAATAACATAATTTTTTAAGAATAACATGTGTCAAATTGACACAAAGGATCGATGAGGGGTAATATAGAGGGTAATTACTGATGTTTTCATTTTTATACACTCTTGATTCTAAACTCATGCATCTGTGAATTAAAAACAAATTAGGAGTAGTACGTTTTCTTTCCCTAAATGTTACATGCTGTACACTGTAGGCTAATATCAGTAAGTACATATTCGAAAGTAAAACATATCAGGACAGAAGATCCCCTTTAAGATTCTGTTCTACGAAAAAAAAAAAAAACACCCACACCGAACCGAGGCACAGTAATAAAAGGGAAATTAATGTTTAAGACTAATTGGCCTCTCTTACGCAAGAAACGCTAGACGGCCGTGTTGAGAAAGCATAACGCACTGCAGTTCTCAGAGTAGCATCGACCATCTTAGTGAACGCGCGGATAACCAGTACGTCTCCTCTTCTTTGGGCATCTTTCCGCGATCCGCGAGTTACCGTTTCGAAGCATTTCATGCGTTACCTGTTACGAATCGATTTAACGAAGTTCAAACCATTTATAGAATTTTAAAAAGTTTGGAATTTCTGTCGCAGTTTTCCCAGTGCAACCAGAAATCAGTGAAATCACATTAAATTGGAGGATTTTGAGATCAACACGACTGTTATGTAGTAGGTAGCGAAAAGTGTATGGAAATCGACGCCATTTCTAATCAACGATTGGATTCACGTATTCTTTTGTAAGAATATATTCTAACAATTTATGTGAACACTATACAATTATTGCCACTTGTATGACACATTGTAGTAATGAATTTTTGATTGGTCGAAGAGATGTTTTGCTGTCGAAAAATGGAAATTTTTTAACTTGTTTAATTCACTTTTATGTAGGTAATAACCTATGTATTATCTGGAAGATGTTCTGAATAATATAACAATTGCTTTTTCCGTAATAAAGTCGTGAAGATTACATTAATCAGATGCTGCTTCGGTGATTTCAATGCGTGGTAAAATAACATCTCCGGGCCGCACGCTCGTATTGTCAGTCTCATTATGTACCTGCTTAGTTCACCGTGTGTGGCAAAGTAGGAAGGTTCTATTCTAGTTTAACAATCTAAAGCTGTACTTCATTTTTATATTAATAGTAAATACAATAATGCATTCGAAAAAAAAATCTAAAGAATTCCACGTGAATTTGAAAATGAGTGAATTCAATGTATGTAACCTATATTTATAGTTTTAAGTTAAAAATAACATTTTATATAAAACTATGAGCTACACTAAGAAATGATAGAAGCGTGTCAGATGTAAAAAACGACAGAACACGGTTTCAATACAGAAATACAAAAATAGATTTCAAATACGGTAACAAATAGACTGCGAGACGAAAACTACGGTAAAAACAAAAACGAACGTGCAGAATACGTAGGGTCGAGTTAAAGAAGAATCATTAAGACACCTAACTAGAGTATAGATTTTCTAGACATGACTTTGACAAGTGACGACCACCCAGCCAGTACTCTGAACGGGACTTTTTCCTCCTCTGTAACAACGTCCTGCAATGGATAATCCATTTACGGCCACGTGCTCCACCGGCAAGACGTTTTCCGTTTTGGAACGCTATTACCCGCGTCGCCTCCGAGTCCCGTTCCTTCATTAAATTGATCCTAACAGTCGTCTTGCGCAATTAGAGCTTCGTACGATCACGTAACCGATAACGATAACACGGCAAAAAAAAATATTTAAACAAATCGAGGTTTCATTATGTGTATTCTGTTCGGTAGATTCGAGATGTTAAAGACCGCAGATGGCTCCATAAGCGGCTCCCTTAAAGTCATCGAGTCTCTGAAGAGCAAGAAGAAAAGCAAGAAGAGTAAAGGTCAACATGACGGCGCAGAATGGACCTGGAAGGAACAGGTGGACCTTGTCAAGTACTCACCTGTGCCAATAGAGCAGAGTCTATTGAGGCTGGACGGTGATTTAAGCGCGCTGGCCATCGAATGCTTTCTCTGTCTGATGAGGTACATGGGTGACCAACCCTTGCCTCCAGATACCAGCGAAGTCAAATGCGTCTACACCATTCTGATGGTGAGTATTAATTTATGTATAAAATTGTATTTGAAACATTGGGAGCAGTTCAAAGTTTGCATTTCTTATTCTGCTATGTAAACCGAATACAGGATTCCTGGAGACTATAGTAATTAGCAATTTTGTTAAAGTTTTAGTAGGTAGGTATCTAGTACCGTAACAAAATTATCCTTGGGTGTAATTGACTCCTAGAAAGTTTCATACTTTCTTCAGCTTCAAATAAGAATCGGTATAATGAAATGTGTCAAAGAAATCTCTATATAGGACAGTCCAGAATCAGAACAATATCTTGTTATAGTTGATATAACTGTTGCCTGTAGCAACAGAAATGTGCGGTTTCCCTTGAATTATCTCATCAGTCTCCATAACACGTTCTCTAAAGAAAGTACACCTCCAAGTTCCTAAATGATGCGTGAAGGTCTCGTTAACTAAATCGAACTTCTTTTCACGATTAAAAAAAAGTGAAACTTTACCTCAGGGTTGGCAATTTGATCCACATCTCCTCAGATTATCACCTAAAAACTTATTATACAACATTTCAAACATTACCTAAAGAAAATTATTATGATCAGAACAAACCCAAATTATATTAAATTCCACACGATCGAAGTTCCATTTCTTCATGTCGTCAACATCTCCACTGCTACGTTTATTCAAAAAAAGAACGATCTTCCGACGCGTTCGAAGGACAATCAACGGTCCTCTCGGTTGTAATTATTCCTGAGGCGTTAATTCTCCAAACAATTACCGAGAGTGAAACACAGCTTTCTCTTCTCCTCGCTGATGAATCTGCGAGTAATCAAACCAACAACTTGACACCAAGAGACTCCCTTCACACTGTGCATCGACTGTGTTGCAGCACTGTCACAAATACGAGCAGCTCCGCGACGAGGTCTACTGTCAGCTGATGAAACAGACGACGAACAACAAGAGCCCGAATCCAGACAGCTGTCAGAGGGGCTGGAGGATCTTCAGCATCGTGGCTGCATACTTCACTTGCAGCGAAGGTTTGAGACCTTACCTGACGAAATACCTGGAAACCGCGGCGTACGACAAGAGAAGGGCCTATCATGGCACTGCCACAGTGTGCCTGCAGAATCTTAGGAAGACTGTTAAATACGGAGGAAGGAAGAACGTGCCCAGTGTCGACGAGATCATGGCGATCAGCGCGGGTAGAAACGCCAAGAGACAGATTTATAGATTACCTGGAGGAACGGAGAGGGTTATTAATACGAAATGTACCACGGTTGTGCAGGTCAGTTTGAATACTCTTGGTGTACCAATTAATGTAAAAATTACTTAGGTGTACCAATAAGTAATCCACTACTTTTTAATACTTTTAAGTACCTTCTAGGTCTGTCGTTGAGTAACAATGTAGCTTGCAGGAAAGTCACTATGAATATAAATTAGACAGTATAGACCCTTGACTTCTGTAGAAATTAATATCGATTTTGTTAAGAAATAGTGGATTATTTAATCGGTGCACATAATAGTTATAGTCTGGATTTTGTGCGAATACAGCAGATGAAACTAATAAGTGAAGAATATTGAAATTAAAACTCTGAACCGTAGAGCCAGAGTGTATTAAGTCACGCTTTTCACTCGTTAGGGGAGAACAAATCAAAGGCGCGAAAACCTTGTAACTTTAGAACCGTTCGGTAAGAATTCAACGAAAAATATTCGATACTTTCGAAGTATTGAATGGACTTCAGACAAGTCTTGATACGTAGAAATGGTGAAGATTGGTATTAAGTCTTCTATGTGATGGACTTTACACTGTTTAGCTCGGAACAAGATGTTGACTTAATATTTAATACACTCAAACTCTAGGGCCCAGAATTTGCATGAAATTTTATTCAGAATTCAGTCTTGTAGTAATAAGTTTTTTCCAAATTTTTGTCACAAGTTACATTCCTAAAAATATGAAATTCAAACGTCACATTTTTGATAAGTTTTGGGAGACGGAAAATTAAGAAGTAGGTATTGTTTTTTGTTAATGTCATGTGTAATAATTATTTCTTTCCTGGACAGGACGTTATCGAAGAGATGTGTAACGTAATATCCGTAAGACATCCCCACGAAATGGACGAATTTTCATTGTATTGTATCGTCGATGGGGATGCATTCACCATGCCCTTAGCTAGAGATGAATACGTGCTGGATGTAACGACAGAACTCCATAAGAATCATCAAGTCTTCTATTTAATATTCTGCAGGTAATTTATCATGTTCCAATCTAGTATCTAAATATCACAATATTTTTTTATCATTTATTAATTTTAATCCTAGTCAGTGTATAGAATTTATATGCTTCTAGAAACATTATCAATTTTAAAATGTTGCCTTTTTCATGAAAAACGTACTTTTTAAATTTAGGTCAGTTTGGTACTACCCTCTCAGATTGGACGCACCGCTGTACATAGAAGTTGTGTTCAACCAAATCGCTCCAGATTACTTGGAGGGTCTTCTACTTGTTCTGCCTGGAGAACATTTACCTCAAGAAGTTGTAGTAAGTATCTCCTAAAATTATAATGGTCATTCTACAGTGTGCCCAACTGAAATGATTAATGAAATCAACTTTCATGGAACAATCATTTTATGATAGTGGTTCATGAATTTTTTCAAAATTAAAATTATCACTTTTATTTTTTTCAGTACGATATGGCGCAAATAGCAGCCCTTCTACATAGAGCGGCAGACATGACGCATGAGCCAACCACTAAGGAAATTAAATACTTATTGCCAAAACCGGTGCTAAGTTTGAGGGAACCAAGGCCTCAACAGTGGTCCAACATGGTTCAGCAAGCGTGGAACAATGTGCAACATAACACTGTCGCTGCCTGTAAAGCGCAGGTTCTTGGTGAGTACTTCATTTAACGCAATAGAACCGACATTAACTGTTATTATTTTTGTCCTATTAGAACAATCATATTATAGTGTTAAGAGCGTTTGTGATCCCAAATTAATGTCATTAAATTAAAATCACATACTCAGCAATTTTAGTTTCTAAAATAATTTCTTTTTATTCATTTGAATAATAATGATTTTATTATATTGAACTTCGTTCGTCTATCGAAAAATAAAGGATATGGAAAATAATACCGGATTTGTTTATTTTCCAGAAATTTTATGGAAGTGGCCGCTATTCGGGTCCAGCTTCTTCGCCGTGAAAAGAGTGCCTGAAGGAAAGGAGAAGGGCGGCGATCACATTCTTGCGCTGAACAGACATGGAGTGCATTTTATTGATTTAATTACTCACGTAAGAAATTTCATATTATTCAAAAATTATCCTATCGACTTTCAGTTATTCACTAAATTCAGTTATTCACAATTATTACTGCGATCTCTACATTACATTTCACTTTTTATTATTTCAAATTCAGTAATTTTGTTTCATTAAATTTCATTCAAAAGTTTATGTTCAAATGCATTCTCGATATTAGTAGCAACTATGTCTGAATCATTGATTAGACAAAATTTTGTGTTTGGTAGTTTTTCCTCTTGAATCCACCTTGCCTACATAATAAATAAACTACGGATTTTAGTCATTTATAGCATGCACGATAATTCAGATTACAGTTATCTGATACTCAATACTATAAGATGTATAACAAAAATGAATGGGGTTTTTAGTTTACTTAAAATCATAGAGAACTTTCAATAATAAAACCAAATTCTTCGTGGATTCCAATTTTCATAAACTATACCACAACAGTCTATATTTGCCTAATCATTTTCAATCTAGTAATAAAAAATCCTGTAGGGAATAACATAAATAAGATGTTATACAAATTTGCAGGAGACGCTGTATCATTACCCGTACTCCGAGGTGATATCCACCCGGAAAGTAAAGTCCGAGGAAGGAACCCTTTATTTGGACATGAAATGCGGTAATTTGATGCAGCAACGCATCACAAGGCTCCAGACCGAGCAAGCTCACGAAATTTCGCGGTTGATTAGACAATACATCACAATGGAACAGAGAGCTACCAACAATCAAGGCGCTGGAATTGGGTTTGGAATGAGATAAGGCCATTCAAATTTTCCTTGTTGTCGATTAATTAATCGTGAAATATTGTACATACCTATTTAAAGGAACAAAGTATGAAGGAAAAGAAAAAGAAGAAAGGAAACGTGTCTGAAGGAGTCTGTGAACAAAGAATATTTGAGAAATTTTTATACATATCGTTTGTTGCTTCTTCGATCGTGCTTCTTGCTCGTTATTAATTTTTTTTGTTCATGAAAATACAAAATACAGAAATAAATGTTCACAATTCCGAAAGTAAAAGGAGCACGAGACGAAAAAGTTCAACAGCGATGGAAAAACAATTATGATGTTTAAAAACGGTTTTATCGATCGTGATTCCGAAAGATTGCGAGGTTTCGCGTTTCACTCTGTTGTTATTTATTTATTAACGTAGAAGGGAATTGTAAAAATTCTAAGGCGCCATTTGGATTAATATTTATCGGGAGGAAACGCGGGAAAGAATTTGTTCTGAATAGTCTTTCGATTTGTAAATATGTTTAGAAAGCCTTAGTGGCAGAAACGAGGAACGAACACGAGGTTTTTTCACGAGACGAAACAAAGAAATACGTAACTTTCTTTTAAAAGCTGACAAAGTGTCTCCGTACACTTCCCTCTTGTTGTAAGAACTCTTTGATCTTGATGTAGACGGTCAACGAATTCTCGAAAATATACAGTAAATGGTACACTTATATCTCGATTCAGATAAACAGTAATCGTTGCGTTTGTGTGAATGCACCGACGAAGAGTTACGATGAAGATTAAATGCAACGTTTAATATGCATTGTCATATAGGATAAGACGATCTAGTTACACCATAGACGTTTTCGAAACGAAAACTGATGGTCTTCTATGCCAACGTGAATCGATTTGTATGTAACACGTGGAACACGTTGACGTACAGAAGGAAGAAGAAGAAACGAATGCTCAAGTATCTAAGCAAATTATTCTCGGCTCTGTAAATACGCGTTTAGAAACGTTTTAGAAGAGATGATCGATTGATCGAAGGAAGAGGACGACGGTTCTGCGAGACGAGAAATGTTTATAACAATCTCGATTGTTGGGTCGAACCATGCAGGACACGTTGATACTCGGGATCACTGTTACGTCTTCCGATTGATTTCTTTTTCTTCACGATCACGACGACGAGCTTCTTCGGTTCAGGACGAGGAAATCGTCGATAGTGTGTCGCGAATTAATATTAATACGATGGTTACAAATAATTCAGTCTCGGTGTAGAATCGTTTTATTTATACGAAAACATGAGAAAAAGAAACAATACGGTACACGAATGATGTTTTTTTATAATGTAAATCCGATAAAAGACTAATCTCTAACGAGTACGTTATGATGGAGACTAACAAGTTGCGGTTACATGTTATCATAAGGAGACATTATTATTAATAACTGTACGTATGCGTATCGATGTGAACAGTGGTGTTAAACTTTATATTAAAATTTCTACATATATGAAAGTGTTGTAATATGGTATCTTTCTCTTTTTCTTTATTATCTTGCAGAAACAAAAATTTAAGGGAAATTCAATTTATTTGTTGAGTTTGATTAGTAAGAAATGAAATACAGTACTTGTTAAACGTAAATCTGCGTTCTGTTAGGTATTACGTTACAAAATACAAATTTTAAATTGTTTCACGACAAATTAGCATTCGTTTACTACAATAACTCATTAATCCAAAAAGTAATGATGTATTTTTATATACATATGAATACATGTTTACATATTGATACATGAAGGCAGTGATTGAAAGTAAAAATCATTACGAAACAATAAACCATCAAAAAAACAAACTGCACAATAAATACGATTGGACTATTGACACTAAGTAATGGATAAGCAGAGGTATTCAACCTGTTTGAAGTCCCTTAAAATTTAGAATAAAAAACAAACATGTTTTCTATAAAACTGAATAAACAATCTCAATACTTACAAGTAAAAAAAAGACATTAATATACCATCGAACAAAAACAAAATCAATGAAACTTGAATAGTCGTTTTTCCTTTGGTTCATAATATCTAGACTTTGGAATGAATGATTTAATAAATTTATCATTTTATTTATTGATTGCTTAAAGTCTCTGGTAAAAAATATATATTTAATTTGGGTTTTCATAAAATAGCAATAGAAAATCTCAAGCTCCATAAACATCCGTAATCTAGTAATGTAAAATTCTGACGACTGGCAAGGTTTTCAGTTTCATGTCGTAAGATCGATCGCTGGTTCCTTCACATGTGATCAATTTTTTGCATGAATAGGACTACTACCAGGTGTTTTCGTCTTCGTTTCGTGAGGCCAGTTATTAGCAGTGTGTCGAACGTAACCAGGATCAGTCGGTGAAGAAGGCACTCGAGTTGCGGCCGTTTGAGTACCGGTACTGGCCGTTCGAAGGGAACCGAAACACTCTTCGAGCATTTCCATTTCGTCTTTGATTTTATCGTAAGCCTTCCCGAAACCCTTTGGAGGTGATGGAACGTTGAACGAAACGTCACGATTCTTTTTGTGGTGGGGTGAACTGCCTCGCATTCGAATTGGCACGTTATCGTACTGACTGATGTCCGAATACCTGTTGATTTAATAAAGAAATAATATATGATTAAATGGAGAATGATCATTTAAATGAACAAAAGAAATTGTACACAAAAGTGGAACACAGAATTTGACATGGAAGAAGTTTAAACATTCAGTGACATCAAATTTACCACGCATAAGGGAAAATGAATTCGCACCCCCGTGAGTCGAACAATAAAAGTGGATAAGTTAAAATTTCCCAATTTTCATTTCATCGCATAAAATATCTTCCAATACGTCAGAGATGAGTAGAAATTATCACACATAACTTTGATTAGTTAATTCTTAGTTTGATGCAAGATTGCTATATCTTGACAGCTGGCGTTGCCTGCAAACCCAAGCCAAATTTGGAAACAGGTGGCTATGGCTTTTTAGACAACGTTTGTCGATATTTGCTGGTAATTTGCTCGAAACTTGTACACAACTGGTTATCAGGGATATGAACTGCTATATGAATGAATCAGTTTCTTTTCACTCTCCTAAAAAATTGCACGTGTTCGACATGTGACACCTTTCATGCAGGGGTGCGAATTATTTTATACAAAAAGTACGTTCACATTCAAATTTTAGTTGTATTGTTTTCTATTTTCTATTACAGCTTGCAGTGTTCTTACTGTACAAATATTACAATATTTAACACGAATTGTACTTTTGACATTTGAATTCGTATTATATGACGGTCACCGGTGACCGATACAACATGAACGTAAAATTCTGTGCCGATCACCAGTGACCGCCATGACATTAGAGAAAAGTCGTATAAATGTAGTAAGTGATATTAGTTTACAATATACAGTAAACGATCGATGAGAGTTTGGAACTCGTGACCGCTTTGGATTTTTGGTTTCAGTTTTTTCAATTAAGTTCCTCAATCTGTTTTTTGCCCGAAACCGAGCCTTGATAGCTCGCCTTTGTATTTTGTCGAACATAGAAAAGGACAACGAGTGACAAACACAAAGAGAAGCCTGACTCTTAACTTCTGTTTACTCTGCTCGGTTGCGCGCCTGCGACGCTCTCGCCGTCCAGTGGTTACATTGTAGACGCTGCGGGATGGCTCTATCCCACTCGGTCTCCATGTGTCCCGTTTTGCTCTCTTCGTTACTGGTCCGATTGTGTGTATACCGTTTCGGCCAATAATGAAAATACACGTGACTGGAGGTCAGTGTGACCACCATTAGTACTTTCGTACTATGTACCCTAGTACTTTGTTAAAATTTTTTAGTGTTCTAGTACGTGCATCAACAAATTCAGTACTTTCGCCCTCCCGAATAATAATAACAACAACAACAATAATAACATGGGAGTTAAATATGTCCCATATATCACATTCAGTGAAAGAGTGAAATATGTGTGATTTCCCCTTTTTTCCTCTCTAATCCCGTACTCACATCCGTAGTTTCATTTAACAAATTGTATTGTTATTAAAATCTCCGTAAATAACAATTTAAAAAATTCAAATATTCTATTAAGTTTTCTCCACGAAATCAAACAACTTTCATATGAATGTTCGCAATAATTATTACGAGATTTACACTCAACTATTTTGCAAATTAGATGTATAACGTTATTATTAAATTATAAATATTTTACATTCATATACGTCATATTATCGTTAACGTAACTCAGAATAATCGTCATTATTAATAATTTAGAATATTGTACATCACACTACGTTGATGTATAACATACTAGAAGTAATAATACCATCATTATTTTAAATGTGCAACAACCCGTGTTTGTAATGTATCATAAGCCAAAATGAAAGAACCCAGATAGCACATGACGCCTTGAATACGGCTTAAAGGCGCCTTAGACCTAAAATAGCCGTAAAATGGGCGTCTTTAAGGTGTCATGTGCTATCTGGGAATATGAATTGTTAACCCCTTACACATAAGTAACATGATCGAAATTATATCGTGCTTGGTACCATTTAATCAGAAAAATCTCACCAATATGTTAGTAAAATTTTCATTAACAAAGAACCGAAAATAAGAAGGTTTCATTGTTGCATTATTGTTGTCTCACCGATACCCGTGCATTTAATTTTATTCTCGGCTCGTGAAATGGAAACCGCTGGCGTGTTACATTACTCGCTTGACTGGTTCCACGGCCTCCCCCTTCAGTGGTGGGGATGAACTAGGAACTCTCATCCGGTACGTCCTGTCGAACTCTCATCAATCCTTTACTGTATAAGCACTGAAATTTATTAATACGCTACTTTGCATAAATTTCAGCCTACCTGTAAGAATCGAAAGCTTCGTCGACATCGTGCTCGACCTTCATAATCTTCACACCAGGATTGACAACCTTCGCGAACATAGTTTCACGTCTAGCGTCCATTTCCGTTGGAAACCGCGGCGTATCCACTTCGTCCACGGGTCGTTGATAGATGTCCTGAACTTTGTATACAACTGTAGGCATCTCATTTCTGTGATCTATCGTGTACGAGTCCCGTTTCCCATTCTTCTGCATCTCAGAGCTTCGAAATCTCTGCGAATCTCTGAGAGCTCGTCCATTCTCAAAGTTCTGCGTGTACTCTCTCCGATCCGATTCCTCGCGTACGTAACGCCCAGTTTCGTCGTCTCTGTGCGCCCCTTTCGATGTAGGACGATCGTGTTCCCATCCTCGAGGATCCTCGGACACATCTTCAGGTGACCTTTTCTGGTGACGTTCTTCTGCTTTCTCGAAGCCGTCGTTGACAGCGCCGTCATCCTGGTTTGAGACTTTAGGGTTCGATTTTGGAGACTTTGATTCTTTTTCAGTGGTTAACGTCGCCGCCACTAGATGCTTTGCTGTGACATCGTAACAGAGAAAAGAATTAGTATTCTTTTATTTTTCAGCTATTATTTCTATAATATATGCTTTAACTTCAAGAAGAATAATTATAATACAGTAAATCGTCGATGACTGTTAGAAGGCTCTTCGACATTGACAAACAGAGGTTCCCAGGTGTGACACTGACTTTTTCATGAGGTTTAGCATAGTGATAGAATATGAAATTTTGAAGCCAATGATACTTGTTTCAACTGCATATGGCCATTACTTTATGGAATATTTAATGTTCAGTTTCGAGAAGCCTTCGGACACTCGTCGAGAATTTCCTGTACTATTCTTTTACTTTTCAGCGATGGTTTCTATATTCTGCAACTTCAAATAGAAATTTTATTAATCACTGTTGGGTAAGAACAAACTATTTCGCTAGCAAGACGAAAGGCTATTAACCATTTATCTACTGGATTCTTTTACTCTAGTTCTGTATCAGATTACCTGTTTTATTTTTCAAGTGTTCTGCCATACCCTGAACCTTCTTCTTAGGCGTGCCCATCAATAGATCAGCGATGAATACTAAAGCTGTCACTAAGCACAGAGCCCCAAAGACTGCGGCGTTATCTATCAGATTCTCAGGGACGTTCTCAATAGAGGCCATGGATAAGGCTCCAACGATGCCAAAAAGAATAACACCAAGTCCGAGGAAGAACAATTCCTTGAATGAAAAAAAAAAACCTTTAATTCCACACTAACAATAATGATTAAGTATTCCTTCCTTGCACACAATTTTAAATACCTCTATTGTCCAAATTTCGACAACAAAAACGAAAGAAATGCTGCCAAAATTTGTGATATTAAAAAACTCACAATACCCGTTGCCGTTCAATTCTTTCAATAGATAACAAAATTGTCTCGTAAATCTAGTCAATCATCACGTTAGTTCACATCGTAGGCATACTATTACAAAAATTATCTATCGTTCGTGGTGTCCCGGTAGAATTCAAAGATTCCTTTCTGATCCGCAACGCCGACAGGTCCCAACCTTTTTCAATGCAAATTTCATTCATCGCAGATAAACAAAGAGATTTGCATATTCAGGAATCATCGCAACTCGCCTAGCCTCAGCTATGACTCATTAAATAAGTCACAGGAGCGTACACGCGTTACGTGGCTCGGTGGCCATAAGCCAAGGATGCGGTTACGTGCTGTATCTTGCGACTACGCCGTGTTAAGGATGCCTGGGTAGCCTTGGCCGTCAATGACAGATCCTACCTGGACTCGTTGCACCGTCGATATTCTCACGGTATCGTTCAGGTGCGTGCTCTATTTCGAGACGGTTTCTCGTCCATCGCCGTGGCCTGTGTGTGAATTAACATAGGGGAGGGAAGAAAAAAAGATCCTTGGAAAGAGAGACTTCTCTGTAAGTGTGCCTCAAGAAGGTGCTATTCCATTCGATTATTATGCTGATCGGTTGCGCGTAATGAACGAGGCGTGTCCCAGGTGAAACGATTCGCACCAGGAAGGATATATTGAGAACGTAATATGTAACGATCGAGATCGCTATCGTGAGACTGTGAAATCTTTCGCCTTGGAAATACTTCTGATTTTAATTGCAGAGGCATTTCATTGATTTATCATCGGGGTAGAGTGGATATTTTTGCAAATGTTCGTTGTTGTTTTGCCATAGATATTTACATACAGTGGAGCGCGTTTCTTTATTGAATTCTTTGGATTTGAATGTAATGAATTAGTTTGAAAAGGGTATAGCTGAATAAGGGGGTCAAAAGTGCCCTTGAACCGTTGAAGAAATCGGTTTTTGATTTTTAAAACTATGGCGCACCCTATCAAAAAATCTGCAAACAAATAAGGATATTACTTAGTATAATAATAATAAGGTACTGTGAAAGGATAAATGTTGTGCCTTTAAAACTTCAATAAGAACAAAACTTTCTTCTGAATTTTTTAGCGTTTTAAATTTTTCGTAATTAGGATACTCAACTAAAAAATCGCAAAAAATTCTCTAACACGTGCCCCGGTAAATACTGTCTATTAGATTTTTTACAGAATTTTTGCGTATTCTTGAATAGGAAAAGTTGAGGAAAAATCGGCAATCCGAATTTTCCTTATTACTACCCTTCTGGTCGAGATAGAGGATTGAAACTGGGCCGAAATTTTTTTTTCTTGACAAGGTATCGAATGATGTAACACAAATCGAAATCGGTCTAAGGGATTTTTGACCCCCTTACTCTGCTATACTCTTCTTCTATTTTTAAAAGTGTTTGCAAGCTAACTGCAAAGCAGATTTAACTGTTTGTAATGTTATTAAAATTTTTCGAAGTATGGAAGTATGGATATTTGATCAAATTTTACTTTTCTTCAGACTATATTTTTTCGTAGAACGGATCGATGCACTTGCAAAGTAGGTATAATTATACATAGGTGTATCAATATCTAATTCACTATTCTCGACAAATGTACCATATATTTTGAAGAAAATTATAAACTTCTGCTTCCTCAGTAACACACGTTCTTTTCTCCAGCAACCTATGCCATTTTACCAGGAAGAAAGCGTGACAGATATGTATGTATCCTGAATTCACTTGATATCACCAGCTTGTTAAAAGATAGTGGATTGCTTATCGAATAAAATATAAAAAGAACTTAGGAAAATATGAATAACATACGTTTTCTATCATACAGCAAAATTTCTTCAATTACTCATTGTAATATAATGTTTCAATTAAAAAACTGCAATATAATAGAATAACTTAGTTTCCCAGAAACGATCATAATTTCTATATAAATTCGCATGTTTATAGATTATTTTATAGAGACCGCATAAAAGAATTATTTCGCGTATTAAACGATTGATAAGTTTAAAGTGCCTAAATAGGCATTCTATTAGTTATTGTTTAAATTGTTTAAATACACCACGAAAGTATAAAATCTGTAGTTTAATTGCAGCATTTAGAGATTCAATTCACACAGAATTGTAATGATCACGTGAATGAATTATTTCGTCAGTGGTTAAATTTTTGAATTCGCAGTATTCATTGAAAAGAAACATTTATGTTTGATAAAAATCGGTGTCCTCGAAGGACACCGCGTCCCGTAAAGGGGAAAGAATATCTCCGTGAGCTCAAACAATGGGACTATTAAGGACAGCAAGGTCTCGTATAATTGTTACGGAAGATGAAATTAACAGTTCCTAGAGTGCACGTTGAATTCTCGCTTGTGTCGCAATGTGGTACGCAAAAAGAAACGAAAATGGTAAATTATTACCGTCTTTCGGCCAGAAAGTTCTCCTGTAGCAGCAGCGATCAGAAGACCCGTTGTTATTATTATGTAACCACCGCAGGTCGCAGTTGCTAGTGCGGCGCCTAGAGTAACAGAAAAAGGTTAATTGTATACTTTAAATGAGAATTTATTATAATTACTTATTCCTCAATGACTAATATACTGAAATATACGTGCAATTTTTTCTTAGCGGATTTTATGTAATTAACAAACTCAAGAAGGTTATACAATTTTATAGACTAGAATTAAATGGAAAACAATTTTTTCGATCAAGAATATTGTTACGTTAAAAATTAAGCAAGAACACCAGTAGACATTATGTTACATAAATAGAATTTTTTATTTCATATGTTTTAGGTACTCATTCTAGATATAAAATAAATGTATAATATCATCAGTTAACTGATAAACAATCCGGTAGATAGTAATTGAACGAATCAAAATTAAGTTTATACAATTTTTTACATTCAATAGACAGTTATTTTATTCGTGAGAAAAGGGGAAATCCAATAAACGAGTTTTTTTGTTAATAAGGAGAATTCATTGAAGGTGCATAATACTTTCTTCATTTTATTAATAAAGAATAATATAAGAGGATAGAATGATATAAAGATACTCGAACCTATTGCACCCCACGTCACATTATTCAAAAGGGACCATTCCCTGCTTCGACTCCTCAAGTAGTGGAATACTCTTCGACTCTCATCATCGGTCACCCTAAGTGCTACCACACAAGCAACACAAAGTATCTGCAAGTCGAATTTCCAATTATCCTAATGTTATTTAAACGAATGAAATGAAAGGAGAGAATAATTTTACATTCAATCTTTCTGCACGATCGTTTCACTGCACTGTAATCCTTTAACCACAGGTGTAATTACGAGTAATTAATTGTGAGAACGTTCAAAGGTATAATTATCTTTTTTGTCTGAAGAACAAGAAATTGAATCAATTAAAATCTTTACATTGGAATGTAGATGCCATGTACGATAGAAAAAACAGATTTACATTCTAAATTGTAAAGAAGAAGAGGCTCTAATACATTAATAGTAACGGAATTATTTCATTTTCACGCACCACTTCGATGATCCTGATGAACACCTTCCGGTTCCACATATTCCCGACCGAAAATATGGCGATCCTCGCGAAAATTCAAATATAACAACGATGCTGACCTCTTTGCGCAAGTTCCACTCTTGTTCGTCGCATTACGGGGAGTCTCAGGCTATTAACGAATTATCCTTTTACGAGGTAGACAGGTAGATGTTACTGTGCTGCGATTTTGAAACGAGACGTCATTATTATAATTCACCGAGGCGAACAGTTCAACGCGCGTATTTCAAAATTTATGTGTTTCAAGAATTTACTTCAATTAATCGTATCACAAATTAAATATTTCCAAACATCTAACACTTTAAACTAGAAATATTTACAATCATTTTTTTTAATCGAGTAATATTGAAAGATGCAAATTATTATTTTAACGGTTTATTTTATTATTATTGAGAGAAACACACTTCCCTTCACTCTCGAATAAAATAATCGAATTGCACAAGCGAATTTTCCATCGTTACTTCCACTATCTCACATCCAAACTGTTTAACACTTTTCTTCCTAAGATGTGATCGATATCTCTAAAACCGGTGAAAATCAGAAGAAATGAATTTGAATTACCGGTTCATGGTGTACAATATCGTCGAAGATAGATCGATCAGACGCAAGTTTGAAGAGCAACGACCAAAGTCATTCCGACACACGATGCAGGAGGAACGAAATTAGCAGTCGATAAAGAAACGAGTTCGACACGCGTGCCTTGTCTTTCTCATTAGCGGGGTCCCTCGACTGAGAGGATCGCGAAAAAGAAGACTCGGATCGCGGAGCGCTCGAACGACAACTGAAGAGATAGGAAGGCTCGTGGTTTTAGTAGCACGAGCTACTCCGTGTCACGCTATAACGTTGGCGTAGTGCAGGTAACAACAATGCTATTATCGCACAAGTGCATTGGCGCAGGACGGTGTGAATTTTCGCGACAAGTGCCATGGAACCTGGCTCTGTCGAACCTTGAAACAGTTCGACAGCGTTTCGTTGAATCGTCGAGGAAAATCAAGCTTCTATAAATCGAATTATACATAAATACACGTATACTCTGATCGATCAGATGGATATGTATAAACAATGAGAGAAGAAAGTATTCGTAGCCTGGTGACTTTAATTATTTATCATTTGACAACGTTGCTTTCAGTAAAGTTAAAGGATGTAGTTTCGAAAATGTCAAACTTTCGATTTGGTTAAACAAATTTTGGTTAACAAATTCTCCCAAATAACTAAAAGGTTTTTTGTAAGGTTTGGAACATTTGAAAATTAATATATGTATAATAAAGATGTTTATAATATTCCATATACATAGATATATTTATATGTGTATATTCATTTTGAAGTGCACCAAAAAACCTTTTTGTTTACCTGTGCTCATTTGGGGGTATTTGAGACAATTTTAGCAAGTTTCATCAAAATCGAAAGGTGGACATTTTCGGAATCGCAGCCAAGTTAAAAATTATTTTCTTCCGGTTATTCCGTAATAATTTAATTTTCTATCAATGGTATAGTCAGATTTACAAAGTTATGAACTTAGGTGCTATACTGAAAACATTATTAAATGTGTAAATACTATTTTCTGCCACTTCCGTTAGATTTCTGCTAGGGAGATATTATTTGGCTGAGTCAGAAGTATTAATTTCCATCGAATGTGCGTGTTATAAAAAATGTACCACCTTTAAATCGTGGAATTACTAAAAATAAAACATGTTTCAAGTAGAATAATATTTTGACACATTTCATACAAAAAGATGTATGTACAACTAGATATTTCTTTTATTGTAAAATCCTGTGCTTCAAAGAGTTCAAGAACGATGAAGTGTGAGAAATATCAAAAGTACACAGATGTGATCAGACTGTAAATGTTAATGCATTTATAATAAATTAAAATCTGAAAAACGCAGAAAAATAAAGGTTTTTGAAAAGTTTAATAATATCTAGATACATGTGATATGAAAATGAAAATTAAGACAGAAAGTTAGTTCCTAAGCTGGATGTTTTATTAAAGTACAGTGTCTAAATCTTTGAATTTGCATAAATATTCGCGGTCTAGAATTATTGCCGAATTTAGCCATGATAAAGATGAGCAAGGTTAATTGCTTCAGCGAGACTTTGTAGACCGTCACTATCAGAGTTTTTTGATCCGTTGAACATACTTTTGAGAGAAATTTTGTTTCCGTTTCGATGGACGAATGAATTTATGTAGATTAACTTTCGCGGGTAAATGTATTCTTAATTAACAATTCTACATGGGTTTCTTATTAAAGACTTCTTTTTCCTTAATGCGCGTTTTAAGAGGAATTTTTGTATTACTTGTTAATTACCAGTGGAAAGAACTATTTAGCTTTCTATATTACGTTCTTGTACTTTATTTATAGTAAGGGACGAATAACTTTGAGAAAATAGGTTAAAAAGAGAAGGGAATAAATTAATCCATGATAGTATAAGCTACTTTTTCAAGTTGTGTTTAAGTATATGCTATGATTTTTGCAATTAAGTCACTTATGTGAATCACCTGCATGCCTAACATTACGGTAATTGTCCGTGTTGACCGGAAATGCGATGATTCTTCGGTGATCAAGTGTCTTTCCACGCATATTCATGTGTAATTTTAGTATCTTTGCAATAAATCTGATAATATACAAGTACAACATAATTGAGAAAATAATGTATTCAAATATGATTCAAACATCAAACGTCTGGTACATTGAAAACTTAATATTTCTATAATTTCTTGTTAAAACATTGTGTCTTAAATGTCTCCAGTTATATGAGTCATAAAACATTCGATCTTGTCTCCGCAACATTACATTACACGCAGATTCATTTGTTACATACGTACGGAAACAAATGACGTTTGACACCAATTTCCTAGAAATAATAAAAAAAAAACCAACCTCCTTGCGTGCAGTTCAGAATTAGTAAAAAGAGGTTAATATACCTCACATCAAATACAAATACGATGAAACTTATTGCAAATAAAAATTAAATATAAAAACCTTTGGGTAAAAAATAATTTCATTCCTAATTAAATAATTGAATATTTCATGGAATTACAATAACGCATTAATCTTCTAAATATGACATGCAGGAAAAATAAATGAAATCAATGAAATAACGATCATTCTGAAAAGATTACGTTTTTAAATTAAATTAAAATTATTTCCTTAATTTTAAATTTCAAGAATTTTATTCAGGTCACCATCTGAACATTAAAAAGTTGGAGAGCATTTGTTTCAGTTCGTTCCCTGTACCTCGTGGCTCGTGGCACGGGTACGAGGACGAATCAAAGACATTGTATGATCAACTCTGGGCAACAGGCTTTTTTCTCGGTCCTTCGACCAGGCGACAGGTTGCTCGGGCAACAATGTAACGTCGTCGACGGATAGAAATACTTCTGAAAAGATTCGAGTCGTTGGTCGAATTTAACTAACGAATTTCATATTCATTTGCATCGATCTAAAAAAATGCAGTTTAAATTATGGTAATAAAAACTTACACTACTTAAATTAAATTTTATGTTTCATATATTTTCTAATGAATCATTTTAGAAATACAACAGTTTCTGTATTTTGTGGTTAATAATTAATAATTACCCGTATTAATTATAACTCTGTAAATATTAATTTTCCAACCCATGTTTATTAGGACTTTTTTTCATCATTTAGCGAGTACTATCTAACTTAGAAGTTATAAACCCTTCTTTTATTACTCTGTATAAGAATTCCTTTAATTTTTGAGGTGACAATTATACATACAGTAATACAGGCATTGCTCACAGATTTTAATTAATTATTGATTGATTTTTCATATTTAATGCATAATAAAATTTTGTTTAATGAAAGAGATCTGAATAATATTACGTTCCAAATTGAGATGATTTTTAGGTTAAAAAATACGTAAAATAATTAAATGCAGTTACGGTATAATCTTAAAATAGCAGTACATAATTGAGCATCTACCCTACGGAATATTAAACATAGGGAACAAGCAACAAACAAAAGCAATATTAAATATCATTGTTATATTTTCCATGTAAAAATCCTTTTATTCGTGCAAAAATTCACATAATCTATAAAGCAGTGGGATCATAAAGAAACAAAAGAAAGCGCAGAGATGTAAACGAAGACAGAAATATGTATTCCCTCCAAGGGTCGAAGAAAAATGAATTTATCCAATCGGAACGGTCCGAAATAAGCGCCATCTGACCCCATACACTTGACCCATGGGATTGCCGTAGCCCGCTTCATCAGTCCCATTCAAACCGTGGCTGTGTAATTAACTGTCGATCATCGATTCCTCGATCTGAATCTCCTTCTCCCCCTGTTGGACTCGTTGAACAAAATCGATCGACTTTATTTTACCCTTTCTGTGAATTAACCAAAAATTATCACCTAATGGTCTGGAAATGTTGTAACAAACGGTAATGAAATTTATTCTGAAAAATTATGTCATTGAACATTAACGACGACGAGATCCAGAAAAATCGGAATACTGTTATGGTTTCGACTTTAAATATCCAGGAAACTGAGCCTACGAATGTAATACAGAACGAAAAGGACAACAGAAAACAACTCTGTAAGTACTATTGTGAAATATTGAATATTTTCGTGATAAAATTTCTTTTTTAAGATTTTATAACAAACTATTGTCCACTAAATTGTTGAAAGAACGGTCTGTGGTTTTATGATTGCTTGCTTCTTTTTTTATAATGAAATATGCTATTGTCGCCTGTTACTGTTATTTGTTCTCGATATAATTGTGTGAAAGTGTCTATGCTGTCCACATTGTCGGGAACTGAAAAAATTAATGAATGATTTTAGTCTATTATTTGTAGCCTTGGGGAATTTTACTATAATTATTAAGTGTTCAATTCTTAATGATAAAGAGTTAGAAAATGCGATGTAAAATATTCAGCATTCCAACGAAATATATAACAGGACTATTTAATAATAAATTTTACTTGAATTAACACGTTGGATGCCAGTTTTCACTTTTAGGACAGCATCATGATAAAATACATTTCCTTAGAATTTTGGTATTAACAATATAAGTATTCACGCCTTGACTTGAACACGCATTGCTTTCATTATTACTCTACTACTAATTATATTTATAAAATGTTAAATGTTCCTATGTAGAAATTCAATATTTCTTTTGTATAATTCAATGAAGCCTGTGACCACTATATATAGTACTTAACTTGTTAAGTTATATGTTACGCGATGTTAATTCCCCCTTTATCAAATTAAAGTGTGCACAAGCAATCGGAAACCGACACCACGAAAACTACTAACCATGAAGGATCAGATGGAAAGTTGTCTGAAGCTGCTGAAATTCATGGCCGATTCCCAGTTAACGTTAACGCAGATCAACGGCCAGAGGAAGCTGGGACCGCCGACGGAATGGACGGGTCCACCACCTAGTCCGAAATGCGAAATCTTTGTCGGCAGCATCCCACGAGATTATTACGAGCCTGAGATCGTCCGAATATTCGGTACCGTGGGTAAGATATACGAATTGCGCCTGATGATGGACTTTTCCGGCACGAACAGGGGATACTGCTTCATTATGTACACCACCGAAGAGGAGGCAGCACGAGCAGTGAAGGAACTAAATCAGTTTGAAATCTATCCCGGAAAAAGGATCGGTGTCGTAGCCAGTATCAATAATTGTCGTCTTTATATGAACCAGCTACCACAGAACATGGACACTGAAACGATTGTTAGGGTACGGATTTTTTAAATTGATCTTACACTGAAAGCTTGAAGGAAATTATTTCAGGATTTATAAAACATATTATGCACGAATGTGTAAAATACAGTGAAAGAGCTTCAATAAACTATTGAATATTTGGCGTGAGAAAATTCTTAACACGACCACTGCGGAGCATATTTCGGTTGACTTTTAGACTGATTGTATTATATCTAACTCTTTTTGTACGAATGTAATTTTTTCATTGTATAGTATTTTACAATTAGAAGTGTTCAAAATTTTTTTTATACTTCGCGATTGGTACAGTTTTAAAATCTTTGTGTAGTAAACTGAAACGTGCACAATGTGTGAAGGTACGTAAATAATTATATCATATATTTTCAGCGCATCTACGATATAACAGACGACGTCGACAATGTAGCCGTTTATCGAAACAGTGACGGTCACATTAATTATGTATTGGTTTCGTACAAGACTCATCGTGGCGCCGCTATGGGAAGAAGACGATTGGTACCTGAATCCACGACGCTGTTTCGTAACTGTGAAGTAAACGTGGAATGGGCGAATCCAAACATAACTCCCTCGAACGTGGTGGGTATACGAAAACATTTTTAATTTTCTGCAACAGAAATTCTTAGTTAGTATAGAACTTATAAAATCTAGTTGTAATATGAATTTGTCTATTCTATTAGTAGTATACTTACAGAATTTTTATCCGTAATTACTATATTTCGACCTACTTTGAATCTTAATTCTTCAGCGCATTTTGTGTATAAATTTCGGATTTCAATTACAGTCAAGTGAATTCACATTACAATATTGCAATTTCGACACTCAAGATTTGAATATAAGTCTATATTGAAAAAGTCTATTCTAAACGAAATTATTAATAAATAGAATGTGGATGTTTACAAAGTTTTAAGTTTTATAGACAGTTATTTAACAGTTTGAAAGTAAACAATGCAAAGTGCATAAGGTAGAAGGCCTTATTTCTACTGACGTCCCCATTTCTACTCGTTATTTTTATTATTGTTTTAAATATTTAGTAACCATAAAAATTGTGTATATTTAAATATTTTAAAATTCTTCGAGTACGTACTCGCGTGCACTGTGGACGCATAAAATCCGCAGCATATTGATAAGCATCGATCGTTAATGTACACAAACGCGAGACGATGATAGAACATTGACGAAGGGATGGTAATATTTGCAAGTAGGCATCAGTTGCAGTTTATGCTTTTCCTTTTGCGTGGAAAGAACAATGACATCAGTCACTTATGGTCCCACGTGAAAATAGAACGTGGGTACTTTCCCCAGTTGCCTTGTCTGCAATTGGTATCGCGATTTACGAGAATCGAGAGCCATGTGGGTGAACACTCAGACGCAGATCGTTTTATGCAATCGGTAGATCGTACTCTTATTCATTACGTCTTGATACGAATATATTTTTCCACAGAAATATATTTGCTTTCTTTATAAAAAAAAAAGAAAATATTAATTCTAGGCTTTTATTGAATAGTAGATTAATGTTAATAATTTTTATTGAATAATACAATACTATACTAGAATGTTCTGATAAAGTTTACAATTATCTTCACATAATGTCGGAATTATGTACTTCAAAATGAAACAAGAGTTACTTTTTTTGTAAATATTCGTTTGGTGGTATATGAATCGCGTCTGAATTATTGTTCCTCCTCTAGTTACAAATTTATATACAAAATATTCAATCTATTTCCTAAATTATTGAAGATTAGAGTTTGTAGTCTATACGAAATTGGATGTACTATACAGAACTGAATACAAATTTTATCACTAAAATTTGGAAATTCTTTAACTTGTGTAAACAATATTTCAGAAGTAATCACTGTACCTATTTATCTTAAGTATTTAAACCCAAGTACAAAATATAAAAAACAGGATTCGACAAATATTATTCTATAATTATGTGTATTATAATTTTTTAAAATACGTAACGAGTCATATGTTACATAAACATTCAGAAAAAATATACAAAAGCGCTCATATCAATTTTGCTTCTTTATATTGGTACAAAAACATTCTTTAAAGTCATACGTCCAACCTTCAGATAGATAAACACAATTCGATCAAACATTTGTTTTCTAAAAGTCAGAAAATCGTTCAGAATTATCAAATTTTTCTGTATCACGATACGAACGCAGTTTGAATGAAATAGTTCACAGTTCTGCCGACGAGCCGCGCTGCAATGGTCGGCATTCATTAAAGAGAATGCGCAGCGGCAGATGTGTCGAGTCGATCAGCTGACCGCGTGCTTCCTCGTGCTCTCGTATTATACGAAATCGTTTTCGAAAATCGTACGGTCCACTGAATCAATTTGAAATCTATAAAAACGAGTGTCTCGATGGCGGGAAACAGTGAATACAGTGATTACCGCAGTCCTTTGGCGACTAGATACGCGTCGAAGGAAATGCGATACAACTTCAGTGACCAACACAAGTTTAGCACGTGGCGGAAATTGTGGGTATACTTGGCCAAGGCAGAAATGGTTCGTACCTGTTTATTGTAAGACACTTAAAGGAAATTATCATAACCGGCTTGATCCACTAAGAGTTCCTGGTCTTTATTCAAATAATTGATTTTCAATACTGCTTTTTGTTAAAGACCGTATAGTTACTCCATTTTTTTTATAAATCGTTTTTGTCAATAATCTGTAGGTATAATTTCTGCCTATCACTGAATCAAAGAATTTCAGATGTTTTGTGTTAATTAATGTTAGTTCAAGGTTCAATTCATCAGAATATCAATTTGGAGCAGTTTGTCCTAACCGATAAGAGTATCTAAAATTGAAATGCGTTCATTTTTTTGTTGCTTAGAATTTATCTTTGCAAGTGTTTATTCCATGTTTTATCAATAATCAATCATTCATTTTAAATAGTTTTAGTGACGTTTCAATTGGAATAAAATTTTTACTTTTTATTTAGATAATATTTTAGTTTTATATGTGTATTTATTGTGTTTCATTATATTCGTATTTACACAAATAGGAATAAAGGGAGTCTATTCTTATCTGAGAATTACGACACGATCCTTAACATTGAATTGCCACACCATATTTGTTATTAGGAAAGTTTCGCGAACATGGTTTTTTAAGGGTTATCAGAAGTTCACTTGCGTTGCACAAATATGTTATTTCAGTAGATCGTGGTTCAAATAATTACTTTCAGACTATTTTCGTAAAAATGGAGTTTCGCAAATTCTTTAATGACGACTTCAAGCAAGCATGTGTGATTTCAGAACGAAATATTGATGTATCAAATGTAGATCGATTAGTAACGCTAAAAATTTTCAAAACCACCTCAACATTTAGCAGTGTGAATTTCATACATATAAAAAAAATAACGAAAACTTGTGCTGGGCATGGTTCATCGGTATAAATGAAAATTTAAACAATACATTTTAGTAATTTAATACATTAAATACAATTCTAATAAATTAAATAAAATTACCCACACAAAGCGATGCCAGTAATTTCAGTCAAACTTGCAGACACAGAACGTCCCTTCGTTAATCGAAAATTAATCGTCAAATACCATTAAACATTTGTGGAGTAAAAAATAGAAGAAGCTATAAAAATTCTATTTAATCCAGCAATTCAATAATCTTTCACGAATTATAGCTCGAGGAATCCGGGATCGTAGACGATCTTGGCAACATCGAAATCACGAAGACAATTCTCGGGGAAAGGAAACTCGGCAAATCATTAGGTCGTATGAAGCAGAACAAAACCGCGAATAAACGATCGAACGCGATGATCAACCGAAGAACCCATAAATCAAACCATAATCCACCCATAAATCCAACGCCGGAATGTCTCCCAAGAAGTTTCGAGCATTCGTCGAATCATTGCACACTCGAGAAATGTCAATTGAGAAGCCTCCTTCCTTGCAATTGCTCGGCAACAGGGATCAGAAACGAATGTAAAGCGAATCAAAATGTCGACAATGCTTGGGACATTAATGGTAACCTCAGGACCATTACGGACCATTCTTTCCTGCACGAGAAATCGAAGAAGAATCACGTATCGCACCAATCGGACCTGATTCTTCCATCGATTAGTACATATCTGAACAAAGGGAAACGTCCTAAAAGTCTGAAATTGAACGAGACTCAGCAATACTCTGACGAGTCTCTCGACCATCATCGAATTATTAGCAACAATTTACAAAGCCCGACTTGCAATCTGGAAAACAATTTAGCGTTATATTCCAACTATTTGTTTCAAAATCATGGAACTTGCGTGCCCCCAGAAATTAACACGGGAGCACAGAACTATTATTATTCAATGGATCGCGGATGGAATTCGGTGGACAATCTCGTGCCAAAAATTTCGGAACTTTTGAATATTAAAAATGAGAATGATAAAATACACGCGAATAATGTCGACAGAATGTCTAATAACATTTTCAACGGTCAAACCTTGGCCGACACTGGCCACCAGTTCGTGAATTTAATTCGGTTCGATAATAATCATCAGAATTTTCCCGTGAATAACTTCGCCCAGAATGGTCATGTCGCTTATGCTCCATTGTCCGATGAAATCCCGGGACAATGTAACATGCAGAACGTTCGAGGATCGATGTACCAACAGGAATCGGATCGTGAACGTTGGTTGCAACAATTTTTGCCGAATAACTTAAATTCGGTAGCAATGGGACAGAATTTTGGGTGGTCTTCTGCAGGATCAGTATTTAATCAGTCTTCTTCCGGTGAAACTGGCAAGTTTCCTGAGTTGTTTAATGGGGTCCCTAGTGGTTTTAAGCAATCTGGTGGATATGAAACGATGAACGGTGCGAAAAATGCACTTGGAGTCGGGTATCACGACAGTCAGATTAATCGGGGGTCCGTTTTGAATTCTACTTCGAACTTTGCTGACACCTTTCCTTATTATGCGTATCCTATAAAAGCTACGACGTATTCGAACGATGGTATTCGTACGGAAAATAGGCAACTGCTTGGGAAAGCTTTTCCGGGCGAGAGAAAGTGTTATATGAAACCAATTTTGAAGGCTTCCGATGACAATATCAAAGTAAATTACTGATTGTTCTATAATATTCTATGCAAAGAAGTGTTTGAGATACATTATATCTGCAGAAAGGTCTGATTTCTTACATGAAAATTAGGTGACACACAACCAAATAGTTTATTGGGTATACTAAAATTGTAATTTTTTATGCATGGATTGCATTAAAAAATTTGGAATTATTCTTTTTTAGTTGATGTTGCTCCTCCCTTTTGGGCTGCATTTTAGTAGTTTGTAAAGATTCTTCAAGCATGTTACGGAATCATGAAAATATGTAACACGTTTCCCGTCGTTCTCGATACCCCTAAACAATTAAATAGAAATGAAAGTTAGAAAATTTATTTGTATACTACCCTTTGGAAAACAAATTATTCGATCGAACGGTTTAAATTGATCGTTACGGAAGTTGTTTAATTTTATAAATTAATTTAGTAAATAATATTAAAGGAACAGATGAGTAAACGACGAACGAAGGAAATATTAACAAATTAATGAACATTCTCGTGTGTTTACCTGTCACGGAACAATATACATTGAAGTTACAAGAATCGGAAACCATTTTTTATTTTGTGCACAGAAGAAAGGTTAAGCACTTACATTTACTTGCGCTCATACCTTTAAATAAACTAATATATTAATTTTCATATTACTCTTTCGTTCTATTTCTTTGACTATCGATAGAAACATTTTTCGCGTCTATTTCACGAATAATTTTCACTGTAAATGTTTAGATTTCTTCGATTAAGTAATTTATCAATGACAGTAAAAATGTGAACTTGTAATATTAAGGATGAGAAGGGAATGCGTGACGCTTCATGTTTTTTTTTTGACACCTTGTATAATGCATTATCAAAGCAAAGAGAAATTTTCTTTTTGGAATCGCTTCGTTAGGTACCATTATGTAAAAGATTTGAAGGAAAAGAAATGGATTATTTGTCCCTCGCGATAAATTGAATCGAAGCGAAGTATTCAATAGAAATATCGGAATCTTAGTGGCAAGGTTTATCTTCGTAAACAAGTCGATAGAAGAAAGAAAAATTTCTGATCGAGAAATAAAACGTGAATACTTAGATGATCTTGTTTCACGATGATCGAAACTACGAATCGTTTGTGATATTGAATCACTGTACAAGATTTTGCTAATTAGTATTTGAAAGAAAGCAGTAATTAAGAATAAACATTTTTTACGATCAGTGTTGTATAAGTAAACGTATTTATCATTAATTTCTAAGCATTTATATTAAGCATGAAAGACAAAGAAAAGTATTTTTCTCAAAGTTTATACAAACTTAAAGTTCCTGACAAATGGGCGTAGTTTTATAATTAAGTGACACGACGATGGTTCCTTTTATATAAAGATTAGCTGCGTTTATTAATGGTAACTAAGTTTATTGAGTGATCGTTACTTTCTACTATTATAATTATATTATCGTATTATTTCATGTTATTATAATCATAGGGATCAGTTTGTGCATCAAATAATTGATCTTTGTATAACTTTATTTTCTAACTACGTGTAATATCGTTTAATATAGTTTCTTTTTTCTGGATCGTATGGATCGTTACAGCTTCTCTATCTTTATTTCCTTGTAACAGAATCAGAAACGGATGTGTAACATTTTTTAATACATCGCTTATTATTGTGTTTTTCTGTAATCAAATACTTTGTACTGTTGGTGGTAGACAAGAAATAACAATGGAGATACAACTCGGACAACACCGACGAATGATAAATTTTACTTTACAGTATTTTACACGAATATTCAGGCTTATCACTTTTTTAACATTGTTGAAAGGATTGTTTCACTTGTATAAAGTAATCTGTAACTTTTATTTCGAAAAACACGCGATGGCTTCGTACATTCGAACAAATATTCATTGTATTTTATATAAACAATGTACAATTTGTGTTAACTTTCTTCAAATAAATATAGCCTATTGTAATCACCCAAAATATTATTGTTAATTAAGCGTGTTTCAGTAAGTACAATAATTACAAAGCATTATGTTAAAGTACATGTTCATGCCTGAAATTAAAATACTTTTATAATAAAATACAATTATACTCTTTAAAATGTACATTATCGTTAATCTCAATTCAATATATACATGAAAAATCTCTACGAAATGTTGTTAAATGTAATTCTTAATTATTTGTACATATTGTATTCGAATTTCGATGATTCGATGTTTATCCTAATTTTTATTCCGTTCGCAATTCATTTTCATCACTTCATCGTCGTTTTTTCTCTTACTGAAGCTGCATGTTTTGTTAGAGACTCACTTCTTCTGGATTGAATGCGTACGCATTGGCATTTGAGTGCATTTGGGACAGCTGTCATTTCTGTTTCGAGTATACTGAGGACGAAAATTTGTATTAGAATAATATTCAAACTATTATTAAAAGAAGAAGTATCTAAAAAATCGTCTTTACAGGCCCTTCACTCCGACTACTCTTCTGTCGT